TTGTTATATCTAAAATATGTTCATTGCTACAGTTTCCACAGACTGTAGAACAATAATCTATATGTGGTAAGATATAAGCATTTAAGAACAGTTTTCATGCATTTACATCAAGGTATTGTTTTATTCTAAGAAGAAGGTACAACTGAGTATTGCATTTGATTTACGTCTTTTCTACTTGGATGTTCCACTTAGAGTTATTGTCAACATGAACACCTAATAACTTTTCAGTTTCAGTAAATTCAATTTAATGTTCTTGCAGGTGTAGTGGTTGTAGTAGTTGTTTGTTTGTTTCATTTGACGCCTTTTCCCAACAGTATTTCAGTCATATAATTGTTGTTCATTTTTATTGGATGATAGGTTCATTCATTTCATTTCTTTGCATTTAGCATCATTGCATTCTGTTTGCACCACATATAGGCATTTTCAAGGTTGTGAAGGGAGCAAAGAAAATTATGTACACATTGCATGCAAAAAATGACCCTTACTGCCTTAGTCACGAAGTAGAAATTTGATGATAAACACTACAAAACCAGTCATTTATCGCACGTTAAATGTAAATTATTACTTGTATCTTTAATCTTTTCAAGTTTCTCAAATTCTTAATACTTTATTTCAAGTTTGATTTTCTTAAAATATATTGGCTCATCCGGAGGCATGTATGAATGTGTCCCCATAATAGAAGGTCTGTCATTCTGTAAATAATTATGATGGTAGTCTAGTATCATATATTGCAACAACCACAAAAGAATCATATATGGATGCTGTTGTAAGTGTGAAAGATATGATCAGATCTACATATCAATGTATAGTAAATATTAATTGTTCTAGTAAGAACAAAATATTCTTATTTATCATATAAATGTTCATACTAAATCACTGTGTACGCTAGCAACATTTTTTGAGAACAAATTTTTATCAGAATGTCCAAACTCATACATTTCTATTGTTTTGTCAATATTTGAAGTACTTGTGGAAAATGTGTTCATTGCAGACCAATATACTTTAGATATCCATTACAATGTGAATCATGAAATACCACTAAAGTTACCAAATCGAATACTAATATAGAAATAGAAAGTGATAAAACAATTGTTAAAATCTGAGAAACGCTCAATGTTGCATTGCGAAAATAATTTCTACTGAAAAGAATTCAGCAATCAATAGTTTTAAATGTCAAAACGAACGCAAACAATCTTCTGTCACAATTTTAAAAGTAGCACCTTGTGCGATATTACACTTGCATTTAAAATTGATACTTTCCTCATATTGTTACATGTGTCTTTGACCATAGTACTTATACGCAGCAGTATTCGCGGTTGTTTAATTTTGGCGACAATTGCAATCCTTATGGATTGCTCCAGTACTCTATTGTGATATTTGCTTTCTCACAGCAATGAGACGCCACTTATTACGGAGAAATTGCATGTATATGTATTCAAATTTGAATTTCAAAACACAAAAGCTGATGAAAATAGATCATCTGCTCGAGAAAAGAATAAACAAGAGAAGTTATCAACAATAAATAATGAATATTTGCATTCATGTATCCATACAATAGGAGAGGCTAAAAACAATTACTGATTTAAACGGAATTGGCTGAAACAATACTTATACTGTATCCACTTTTGTTTCATAAACATGGCAAATAAAAAGTCGTTAGGTACAGTTTCAAAGGCCAATTAAAAACTTTCTCCTTAAGAATTTGTGAACAAATTATTTATAAATGTGCAAATGTTAAAGACAAGACTTCAATTTAAATTGTTTTCTTCTTTATATATAATTTTAATATTCTGTATGATATATATTGGCTGGAGATAAAAAGAAAAAGACTTTACTTATTTAGCTATATATCTGCTGCAAAAGTCAATAACGTTTGTACATGTATTTAAGTATTTGGTCTTTTGATTTTACTTTTAATCAACTTGGTAAATGTGAGACCGTCAGTTTTAATATTTTGTAGTTTATCTCTTTTCTTTTGCAGTAGATTAACAGGTTCTAAATAAGCTCAAAATGAAACATCTGATTTTATTTCTGGTTTAAAAACATAATTCTTTAATGGATATTTTTCATTCTGCTGAAAGTCGAGAATACTTTAATGTTTTAAAAGTGCATTTCTAGTCATACGATATTTTAATCGTTTATCGTAATAAACAAATGGATCGTGATTTTTACAGAGATTAATTCACAATCTATATGGACTAAATGTATTAATGTATTGTTGTCATGCCAGTTATCGCCAAGAAGAAGAAAGCTTTTCATTTAGGCCTTGGAATAAAATGTCAAAGCCAACGGAACAAAAATCTGTTCTGGCATTTTCACGCACGCACATCCCTGTTCTTCCTGAAGCAGGTTAATTTGGATAAGTGAATGATTACAGCTTTTCGTGGTGTAACATTTCATAAATGTTACCGTTTTGTTATTTCGCTTACAGGATCCGAAGATATTTGATTGACAAATAGATTTATGAATCATTATTATACTAAAATCTGCTGTAAAACGTCATGTTACCAGAATCGAGTTCGTTTGCTATACAATAATTCTTAAAAAATGTTTGTTTGCAGATATGCTCTGAAACCGATTCGTTTCATTTGTGTAATCTAAAACGCATCATTTATTTAAAAAATGTCTAGTAGATTTTTTTTTAAATTAAGCGTAGTTATAGAGGTCTCAGCGATGAAACAAATGCCAAAATATTTGATCTTGTACATGAATATATCTCTAGCACACAGCGGTTTTGTCTTGCCTAACTCCTTACATAATTCATAAACAATATAAATGGTGTACTTACGAGCGTTTATCACGTGCTTTCATAATTCAACATTCTTTTAATTCATCCTATACTATATTATTATGATTTATAATTTGTCTCTTATTTAACAATAATAATAAGATACTAGGTCTTATATCCAGGATTTAAATACTCCCGATAACCACAAAAATAATTCAAATAATTTATATTGACACATAAGTAAAATTTCCTTTTCTTATATAAAAATTATCACAGATATTTGCTGTGCAAAACTGACCTATCATCCCAATCAAAGACAATGGCCACTTCTCGTTCTCTGAGTTCTATAACTATCCTTCTATATATGTTTCTTCTTTACTATAATTCTTGAGTGTTCTCATCAAAAAGTTCAAACTATTTGTTCAGACTAAAGATCGAGCTTTTTTTCCCCTTCCGTACCCTCTTTATATATAATCGCACATTTGTTGTAATTCTCATTTTTTCGTCGTTTGTTGTATTTTCATTACTTATCTCACTCTTTCTAGGCGTAATAATATAATTATTTCATGTTAGTAGCTAGTATACTTACAAGTACGTGTTGTTACATTGCAATTTGCTTTATTTTTACAATTTACAGGAAAGAAATCTACATAAGTCTTTGACTTCCTTTTTAATCCTGTTTATATAATGTTGTTGTATCATAATTGTATATGTTTGCATTATATGAAATAAATACTGTTTAAACCAAGCGTAGTTATATCAAGTCACAAAATAAGAACATATGGTTGGATTTTAGGGGAAAGGATTGTGCTGGAATTAGATCATTTACCGGACTAGACCATATACCAGACGTTTCGCCCTCGGTCATTAATCGCCTTTGTTAAGCGGGAAATCCTTAGTAGAAATGCCTTTGTGGTAGTCACAACACCGGAAATAATATTTTTATTCATTTCAACTTATTTATACGTCTACGTGATGGGAATCCACCTCTTCCAAGAATGGATATACATTAGGATTTCATACAAATAATGACATTGTCATTTTTTATTTGTTTATTTATTTATTTTTCATTTTTCATTTTATTTATATCTGTTTAAGTGTCTATCATAAATATATGTTTTATATTTGTTTTAATCAGACATATCTCTGGATTGAAAGCCTTTTATCTTGTTGAAATGTACCCAACAATCCTCAACGCATTCATTGTAAAGTAATCGTTTATAATCCTATATTAAAGCTCAGCTGGGATATCGAATCATTCGTTATAACAATACAATGGGGAAAAAAGATATTTCCCTCAGTTTTCACCACGTCCTTTTACATTATGACATTATATTTCTTGGGAAAATTGAGGTAATATGATATAACAATAATTCAAACCTTTTCTAACATGCAATATTGATAATTGTACGGTTAGTTATTACAGAAATAAGAACCAGCAACTAATGGCAATGGAATAGAAATAATTAGACAAAAGCGTAAATGCAGTCATTCTAAACGCGGGAAATATATTTTCCTCTTTTTCTGTTCTGTAATAATGGAAATATTTTGTCACGATTACAATGTTTAGTCTATCTTAATTGTGACATGATTATAAACCAATGAACACTGAGATTATTCGAACGTTATAAAACTATTTCCCGATCCCCGGGAGATGCTTTGATAGTTTAGCGCGGACGAAGGTAGTCGAGTACTGGTGTAACTTTCCAGGAACGATGGTTAGAAAACTACCCGCCTATATGACTGAAATACTGTTGGGAAAAGGCGTAAAATGAAACAAACAAACAAACAAACAAATAAAACTATTTCCCAACAACTATCAGTGTAAGTTTAGAGTGATCCTGCTTTGGACATGTAAGTTTATCTGGTTATGTATTAGTGTAGATTCAAACTTAGCCTGCTTTAGACTGAACATGCTTTAGACATGTAATTTTACCTGTCATATACATGTATCAGCGTAGTTTTAGACTGAGTCTGCTTTTTCTGTTGAAGAACCACTGTTATGGAATATTTTGTGTAGAAAAGAATTTTTTAGACAAACGATAGGAACAGAGAGACTTCGTTTCAGTATTCATTCGTGTTGCCTCCGTGCTTAGCAAGACTTCCTCCTGGCTCAATTTCCATATCTATCTTCCATATCTTTACTAAATTTGCACAAAAATAAAAAAAAAACACATTTTATAACATATAATACATAATGGATAGACTTTCCCCGTTTGTACCAAGACGAACGTTTTATATTATTTACTTACAGTTCAGGGGAAACAATCAATAAATATCGTCAGGTATTCAATATAATGTTGACGTTTTATTTCCCTTTACTTTGCAATATTTGTTCTTGTTTTTAGAAAGTAAATATTCTTATTTCAAACAACGTAAATGAAACGACTTTTTAAAATGCAAATACATGTATATAAAACACCGTCTATGAAATTGGAAAGAGAATTAATAGACTAAGTTGTTTATATTTTGCAAAATCAAAGTACTGGACGTACTGAAAAGACAGTGAATAAACTATTGTACTGTTATTGAAAGAAAAGCAAAAGTTGTATTATGTAGGCGCCCAAGAAAGTTACAACGACCGGAAGTAGCATGTGCTTCCTATGCATGACATGGTAAACATTGAATTGTATACACTTGTAAGTTAGGGTACACTGCTTTCGTTTATCTAAGTATTTGGTTCGAGTGTTTTGCTTAACGAAAACGAAGGCAGAGATTTTATCTTTTGGGCTGTATTTAGCATGTTTGTAGAATCCGGCGTGTTCGGATAGCAATCATATGAGAAAGCGTCTGATCTTAAAATATTTGAAAGAAAAGTATGAAATCATAAAATGACTTACAATGTACCAACTGATATACATTTTTATGAAGTGGAATCATTTATTTCTCTCCCTTTAATTTATCTGACTATAAAATTTGTTATAGTTTAATTACGTTTGATACCATTTATGAATGTAAATTAATTTAAAAAAGCAATTAAAACATTTAGATACATGTATATTATAATTTGCCAAGAACAAAACCGAGCATTGAATGCCATTTCGTATCAAAAGTTCGCTTTCCCAGATATTCATCACGTGTGCGATTAAACATCAGTTCTTCCAGGCAACCAATCGTAACCGGTTCGTCCTCCAGATGAAATTTGTTGGCAAACAATTCAGGGCGTTTTGCCAGCAGTGGCAGGTCGCCTATACTTAACACGCACATTCCTCTTACATATCTTCCTTTACAAACCCAATGGTGTAACTTTGAATGTATCCTGTTTTTGAAACGGGCTAAATAAGGCTTTCGTCTGTCCGACATCTTTGTAGTTTCCGGATAGCCTGTTTGAGAAATATTATTAGTATATGATTCAATAATTGATTATTTTTGAGATTGAGACCTATACAAAAAGTATGCATTTCATTCATCATCAAATATTACTCATGTATCTCGTCTTTAACTATCATTTAAACATTGATCGTTGAATTCTTATGTACAACTGCTTTTTGACGAGGAAAGAATAACTGCTCATTATGAAGATTTTTGCATCGTGTTTGAAAATAGTAATCAAAGTAGTTATAAAACTATACTCTTATTTTGAAAAAAAAGTCTAGCTTTTTACGCAATTCATTACAAACAGTACAAGAGGGAAAACCTTACCTTTATAAGACCCTGGTACCCCCAGTTGTCTGTTATGGTTCAATGTTGTAAAAAAGGCTTCGTCGGGTATTTTACATGAAAATCTCATCCATGACAAAATCTCTTGTGCTTTTTTATCATGTAAACAGAAATCAACGAATCCCCGACTCACTGCAACATGAACTGCCCCCTTCGTTACTTTTATCCCATAAGGCGGTGGTAAAGTTGGATTCGACGTCATACATCTGTCTTTAAAGCTGAAATATATATATACGAATCCTTTCCTTATTAACCAGAAATTTGCAATTGTAAGAATAATTTACAAGATATTTATCCTTATTAAATATCAGAAATTGTAAGAAATTGCACAAATCGAGTTTTACATATAAAAATGTGATTGTAATGTTAAGGATAATCTTGCGTTGTTGTTATTGTTTATCGCAAATATATTGGGACTGTTTGAGAGAACAAATTATTTTCGACTAGTACAAGTATATTTTTAACATAAAGGGCCATTACTGTGTGGTGCCAACAATTTTTATGATACCAGTTATCATTCGTCAATCAAGAACTAAAGGAAAGCTAACAATTGCAAGCATGCGCTTGACACTAGTTGGCGCAGTTTCTAAAAAAATCAACATTAAAATTCTCATAAAAATAAGTATGAATGCATGTCTTTGTACTGCAGCTCTATTACGGTAATTTGACAGAGGTTAATATTTTATCCATATTTTTTTTTCTAATTTAAATGAAAATGTACAATTCACTTACTCTGCAATTGTAGCTTCTACGTCATTGGAACCGTTATAAGCTTTAAGAATTTTCACTATTTCGGAGTTGGTTTTAAGTGGAAATTCTTGACCTGTCAAATTGATAAAATATTTCCAAAGTTTGTTCCTCTTCCATAGAGCTTTCATACACATAAGTTCCGGTTCTAAAACTGATATTTCCCCCCAAGTAACATTTATTCGTTCGTTTAATACAAACACATTTTCAAAGCATTTACTTATATCTGTCAAAGCTTTGTAAATTTTATCGTCTGTCTTAGCATCCACGTGTAAACAATATACATTTTGTGGTCTGTAAATCGCGCGTAAAAGACGTTCAGTTTGCTCGACGTTTGTGTACATAAGAATACTGTATGCGATAGGAAAATCTCTTTCTTCTTCCGTCAAATGGTGCGTAATATATCTTCTATTACCGATGAAAGCAGAACAATCCCGAGCCATGGTTATGTAGTCTTCCGGTGTAACTTCTTCCGGTTTGATATTCGAATTATTGACGTTGTTAGTGACGTTGTTTTTGAAAGCGCGCTTATATTTACCAGTATCATTTCCGTTAAATATCCTCTTGCAATTTACATTCTTCATATTTTTGGGAACTTTGAAGAATTTCTTGTAAATGTGATCTCGATGAGCACGACCTGATGACGTCATATCAGTTTTAAGGTCTGATGCCCGTTTAATCAATTGTATTTTATTATTTAACATCACATTTGATAAATTAGATGTATCGTGAAATAATACCTGATTCTGTGGTTGAATATGAGCAATGTTTTGTTTCAGCTTCAAAATATCACCAACATTTTCACAAGGTTTTAATAAATAATTTGTGTGAAGAAAAATAGATGTAAACTGTAGTATATATATTAAAACAAGGAAAAATACATATTTTATAAATTTAAGCCCGAAAATTCTCGTGTTTGAAATAGTTTTATTCAAATATAACTGCTTTGTGTATTGTCTTGGTACTGCATGATTTTCACGTGCCATATTTTATTGAATACATGTATATCACTTTCCTTTCATACTATTTTAAGTTACAAACGTTTCACAGTATAAATAAGAACACCTTATCCTTTATTTTTCTAATAATGAAGATGTAAACAATAAATAATCATATTATCCAAATGTTTATATCTCTAACAATGCTTTTTATTACAAATTATATTAACATGTTTTGTTTTGTTAAAATTTCACTTGAATATAATTATGTATTTATTTTTTGACAGGTGAAAAAGCAAATACACATGTATAGATATTGAAAATTGTTAAACTTCATGTAATTATTTTGCTGGATTGTTCTGATAATGAAAATTATGCCCTAGGGCTAAGAAAATAATTTAACAATTAACAAAAATGTCACTGATAACCTATCCGCACAAATAACATGTACAATTCAATTCAATTCAACATTTTATTTTATAATAATAATTTTCATATGTAAATAAAATTGATTGTTTTAGTATCTTGTTACAGATTAAAAAAAAACATCTCATTTTACCATAAAGATGAACTGAATTTGCTTCTTTTGCTTTGTTGGCAATTGGTGTAATTATAGTGAATTAGTATTTTGTATGGAAGTCAAAATACTACTTTTTTACATTTTGCTACCTTTTCGACACAACACTATTGTACAGTGCTACATTCCTCAATTGTAATACATCTAGCATACTCTACATCCATGGTTAAATCATTATTTAACACTTGTTTGACATTTGAAAAGAATTTAATAAATATGGATTTCTGAGGCATAATGTGCTTTAAATAAAGAGGTCATACAACTAAATGCTTTGGCTTCATCTATAAACTAATACTTTCTTTTAAAGTCATGGTCTACGGACTACACAGTACATGTATTTAACAAGTCTACTTCCTGTTGTCGCAAGAAATGTTCATGTTAAAATATAAAGGCTCCCAAGAAAGGTACAGTGACCGGAAGTAACATGTGCTTGTAATTGCAAGACAAGGTACACATTGAATTGTAGTGGTTCGCAAGACATGGTACAGTAATTTCGTTTACCTACCTTTTGCTTTATATCACACAATTCCACACAGGATATGTTTCAAACAGGATAAAAAGACATACTTTATACTTGTAAAAAAAACATAAACTACAGATTTTTAGCGTTTTACTTGATTTTTTACAAAGCCAAGACTTGAATACCAGCTTGCATCAAACTTTCTTTTTCCTAAATATTCATCACGTGTCCTGTTGTATATCATTTCCTCTAGGCAGCCGAACGTCAAAGGTTGTTCATATAAATGAAACTTATTGGCAAACATTTCTTTACGTTTTGAGAGAAATGGTAGATCAAGGAAGCTAAGAACGCACATCCCTCTGACCCATTCACCTTTACACTCCCATAGATGCAGACGAGAATGCTGGCGATTTTTAAAACGCGCCAAATACGGTTTGGTGGTGTCCTTGATCTCGGTAGTTTCTGGATGTCCTATAAAATATTGATAGAAAATGATGGGAATGACTATACGCAATATTATTGAGTTCAAGCGATAATATTACGTTCGAGCAAAATTTAAATTTTAAAGATTTAAATCTTACAAGAAAATGGATCAGGTATTCCTCTATACTTATTTAAATCGAGGATCATTCATAAATGGTACATGAACTGCTGTTCCATCACAATTGGATGACTCATGCATGGCCATGTTAGATAAAAAAATAATTAAATCAAGTTGGTTCAGTTTGATCGTTTTTAAATACAAAACACAGACTTGCAAACTTACCTAAATACGAGCCTGGTACACCAAGATGCGGGTTTATGTTCATTGTTGTGAAGAACGACTCATCGGGTATAAAACATGATCTGTTCATCCATTGTAAAATATCACGTGCTCTGTGATCATTAATGACGTAATCAACGTATCCGCGGCTAACGGCAATATGAACAGCTCCTTTTGATATGAGAATACCATGTGGAGGCGGAGACAGGACATAATTTGGCATGCATCTGTTGAGATTTCTAAAAATAAAATAAATTCAACATAATATGGTTTTCCTGTGCAAAATTAAAAAGAAAATGCGTGTTACATATATAATATTTTTGCAAGGAAGCTTTTTAATATCAGTCAACTCTGGTGCCCGTTCGTGCTTGAAATAATGCACGAAGGGCATCTGAGATGTTCTTGTACAAGGAAGGTTGCTAAGTTGCAACTATAACCATTACAGTACCTGTATCATTAAAACTAAATTTCGTTACTTAAGAAGTCACATAGCTCACGTTAATCAGTAATTGATATGGGTGAATATACGTTTTTCAATTTTTACATATAAACATACATATGGTATATTTTACGGTCAAAATAAAGAATATGTAATTGGTATTTTACACGAACACATACTTGAACAAAAAAGGGAGATAATTAGAAAAGATAAAGATGAAGACCTATAACTCACTCGACAACCGATCCATCAACATCATTGGCACCGTTGTATGCCTTTAAAATGCTCACAAGTTCATAATTAGTTTTCAATGGGAATTCCTGCCCTGTAAGATTAATAAAATACTTCCATCTCTTATTCCGCTGAAGCAGCGTTTTCATGCATAAAAGCTCTGGTTCGAGTACGGACATTTCGCCCCACACAACGCTGATGCGTTCTTTTATCATTACGAGGTTGTTAAAACAATGCGTCAACTTCACCATGGCTTTATACGTCGCTTCGTCTGACTTCAAGTCAACGTGGATGCAGTAAACATTTTGCGGTCTATAAATGGCACGTAAAAGTCGTTCGGTCTGTTCAACATTTTTGTACATAAGAATACTGTACGCGATAGGGAACTTTCTCTCTTCTTCCGTCAAATGATGAGTGATGTAACCTCTATTGGCGATAAAAGCAGAACAATTCCGAGTCATCTCTATGTAGTCCTCGGAGGTATATTTATACAGACTTTCAATATTAAACGTTAAAGCACGGTTAAATTCTAAAGCATTCTCCTTTAATATTTCAGCACAGTTAATGTTTTTCTCATTTCTATTTTTCAAAAAGAATAACTTGTTCTTTAAAAACGTGTCTATATCAAGGGATTTCCTTGCTTCCTCGTCCAATTCTGAATTTTTATTTACTCCTTTCCTATATGTTACTGAATGATAAATACTTTTCGATAATAGAATAATTATCATCACAATACTCACTTTAATAATTTTTAGTCCATGGTTTGAAATAACGGTAGACATTTTTATTTATTTTTAAAATGTATTTCAATTTCTTTTCCCTTTTTTTCTAAAAACAAAAAACATAAAAAAATGACAACAGCGTTTAGAGATAATTAAGATGTAAACGATAAAGAAAATTAAGTCCGCGTGTTGTAAAACAAACATTGATCATTATCATATTTCAATTAAGAATGGTGACATATCCGGGACATCTCAGATTGTCGTAAAATCGCACGACGAGAAATTTTACCTTAAGAAAATGTAAAACGTTACGGCATTTATTTCTCTTTTTTAATTCAAAAACATTCTTTGTTCCCAAATTTTATGGCATCTATTAAATTTCTCCGAATATTTCTTCTTCTTTTTTATGCCAGAGTCAGTTCTATGTGTATATGTTTGTGTTTTTGTTTGACAACATCGTTGTTCGAAATGATGTTATTTCTGAAGGGTGAACTGACTGTTTAAATATTGTTGTGTATAGTGTATGTGCTACGATAATTAAGCCGCGTCAAGACAAAACCAACATAGTGCGTTTGCGACCAGCATGGATCCAGACCAGCCTGCGCATCCGCGCAGTCTGATCAGGATCCATGCTGTTCGCTTACAAACCCTATTACAACTAGAGAAACTGATAGCGAACAGCATGGATCCTGATCAGACTGCGCGGATGCGCAGGCTGGTCTGGATCCATGCTGGTCGCAAACGCACTATGTTGGTTTTGTCGTGACGCGGCTCATATGATCAAATGATATTGCGGTGTTTCGATTTTCCATTTTGATGTTGTAATTATTTAATCTTGTTAATTTGTTTATCTTAATATGTTACAAAATCGTAAATGCAATACTTGTTCATTTGTGGGTCAATATAAATATTCAGTGATATATGAAAAAGTACTGTGCTTATATATGATATATCATTTCAGTCATAGGGGGACACCTTGCTCGACGCCTTGCATGATTTTAAATGACTTTTGAGATGCAACTCAAGCGAATTATCAGTGATGTCAAGTGCTTTGCAGAAGAAAAATTATAAATCGCATCATGATCGATAGTAATGAAAAAATCAATACATGTTTAGACAAAAGATACGATAACAATATATACATTCATGTGCATACTCATGGCTAACCGTCACATCTATATGTTGATTAGGTCAGCTTATTCCAATGTGCATTAATAACCATAGTCTATGGATTTATTTTAAAACTAGTAGAGTCTATTGTAAAAACCTTATATTGACTGCATTTAACATATATTTATTTAAAATGTTATTCTAATAAGCCCAAATATACGAATGTAAAGATGAATAAACAAATGAGCTTTAATTTACAAAATGTGCAGCAAAAGATGCGCTCTCCGTGTCTTTCTTTTCTTGTTTTGACTTGTCTTGATTTGTGTGTGTCCTGATTTGCATTGTATTGGATTGTCTGGTCCCTCTTGTCTTGCTTTATTTGTCTTGATTTGTCTTGTCTATGTATGTTTTGTCTTGTCTTGGTTTATCTGATCTTGTCTTGTCTTGAGTGTCTTGTCTTGACTTACCTTTTATTTGTTGTTTTTTCTGGCATTGTCTTGACTTTAGGTGTTTTATCTTGATATGCCTAGTCTTGATTTTTCATGTCTTTTTTTTATTTGTCTTGTAGTGGTTCATTTTGTCTTTTCTTGTCTTGATTTGTCTTATCTTGGTTTGTATTGTCTTTTCTTGATTTGTTTTGTATTGGTTTAACTTGTCTTTTCTTGTCTTGATTTGTCTTATCTTGAATTGTCTTGTCTTTTCTTGTCTTTTTTTTGTCTTGTATTGATTTATCTTGTGTTCTCTTGTCTTAATTTGTCTTGTATTGGGTTTTCTTTTCTTTTCTGGTCTTGATTTGTCTTGTATTGGTTTGTCTTGACTTGGTTTATCTTATCTTATCCTGATTTGTCTTGTATTGGTTTGTTTTGTCTTGATTTGTCTTAATTTATCTTGTCTTGATTTGTCTTGTCTTTTCTTAATTTGTATTGTCTTGGTTTGTCTTATCTTATCTTGTCTTGATTTGTCTTGTATTAGTTTGTCTTGTGTTGAAATAACTTCAAATAGAGATTCCTTTTTATTCATTGTTAATATTAGCGTGGAGATGACGGACATCATTCTAAACATTCTGTACATAAGCACGTAGGTCATTTTTAATACTCGATATTGCTCCACATTTTTTATGTATGGTTTTTTAAAATAACCATGACAGCATAAAGAAAAATATTTTTTCCAGCATATGTTAGTTAGACATGTAAACATGTATATGTATGTGGAAGTTCATAAGTGAAGACTGGAGTTTTTAGTTAGGGACTTATGTATACACCATGCCCTCACTAAGATACTTTTTCAGCAATCTGAAATTTCTTTGGCGTTCTTTGAGTAAACCAAGGTCCCTAAAAATGTACCATATATCCCACTATTTATTATATATGTAGTAATAAAAGATAATATGAGCCGCGTCACGACAAAACCAACATAGTGCGTTTGCGAACAGTATGGATCCAGACCAGCTTGCGCATCCGCGCAGTCTGATCAGGATCCATTCTGTTCGCTATCAGTTACTCTACTTGTAATAGGGTTGGTAAGTGAACAGCATGATCCTGATCAGACTGCGCGGATGCGCAGGCTGGTCTGGATCCATGCTGGTCGCAAACCCATTATGTTGGTTTTGTCGTGACGCGGCTCATATAGTTATGCAGTATCCCATTAATCTTGTGATACTGATAATCAACCATGAATGTACCTTAAAGTTGGGCATGCCTCTGTGCATTATTCAAGACACAATGAAAAACGTAAGTTTAACCGACGACCTCTGAAATCCAGATGGACAGTTGTCATTGGTTAAGAAAAGAAATAGCCTTTTTATTTATTTTGTCACTTTTTATTTATATTCTATGCATGTATTACAAGAACATAACATTCATTATACATATTTTTAATTTCAAGCGTTGAACGCTAGCGTTCTTTGTCAACCGGCAGCCGTACAGCGTTCCCCATAATTCAAAACTTAGTTTTTTTTCATTCGTTATCCTTGCCCTAACACAAAACCTAACGTTGAATAAAAACTAGCGTTGAACGCTAGCGTTCCCATGAATTCATCACGTGTACGGTTATATATTAGTTCTTCCATGCATTCATAAGCTACCGGTTGGTAATCTAAATGAAATCTGTGAGCAAAAAGTTCTTTCCTTACGGATAACATGCGAACGTCAGCTGTACCAAAAACGCACAGCCCGTTAATCTCTCTTCCGTGACATTTCCAGCCGTAAACTTCAGATTCAACTACGTTTTTGAAACGTGCTATATAAGGTTTCCTTCTATTCCGAGACGTTTCTGGATGTCCTGCAAATGAGAATCATTAGAAAATGTCCAACTGTAACAAAACAACATATAATCATAATCAAAGGTACGTCTTACACTGATGAACATAATAATTTGTTGTGGGTACCGTAGGTCGCTCCGGTATGTTATTATGAGTATTACACTATAATTCTGCACGTTTGTAACGTCACTTTTCATTGGATAATCGAGGCGTTTACCAAGTTTGTTTGGGGTGGGTGCCTCAAAACATGGAAGTTTTGCTGCATCATAAATTCGTCATAAAAACTCTTAGCATGTTTTATCATGAGTTATTAAGATTTTTGACAGGTTATATGGCCCTATATAAACGGTTATAGCAAACAACCGTTTATATACGACCATATAACCTGTCAGAAATACTTATAACGAATTTATGATACAGCAAGCATAAATTAATATTTAGAGAGAAAAAAGTAAGATTTCTTCATAAATTGACAGCAGCCGTGTATGTTAAACCACATAAACGTCACGATTATCCAATGAGAAGCAACATTACAAACGTGTAGGATTATATGGCCGTATGTATAATCTGAACCGATAGGCAAAATAGCATGTTAAAATGTGTTCTGGCCAAATGCCACCCTGAAACAGAATATGCTACGGGTGATATATTTATAATATCACCCTGAGGAACATAACTCTAATAACACATAAATCTGTATGTAATGTTTTCATTTTATAGCAAAATTACATATTGTATACGGAAGGTAATATACGAAATATGTCCCAAGGAATATTCTCTATAAGGATGATATTTAAGATATATCCCCCTGGGAATATTCTCTATGAGAGGGGATATTTGATCTGAACAAATTATAACTGGACTTTCGTTATTATGATATCGTTTCTAACACAGTCAGAGGGAAAATAATTCTACAAATCAAGTTGAGAATATCAGTTAACATAGATGCAAAGCTTCTTTTTTCTTCACGTTTATCTATTTTTTCACCATTTCTTCACTGTTACCACTTTTCCCCAATTTCTTCAATTTTACCATAAGAAAATAATGAAAACAAAGTAATAACCTTTAAATGACCCTTTGACCCCAAAATGGGGATTATGGTTAAGGGTTGAGAAATATGCCTCATCCGGGACATAGCAGGATCTGTTCATCCATGTTAAAATGTGCTGTGCCCTTTCATCGTGTAAGGTGAAATCTACGAAATCTCTGTTAACAGCAACGTGCACGAACCCTCTTGTCACGTGAATTCCATGGGGTGGAGCCACTGCACGTGGTTTGTCACACCTCTCTGTGTCTCTGTAAAAGATGTCAAAAATACAGGTTTTTACATTCCCTTTAAGTCTTTTATTCGAAACCTTTCAGATAGTACAATATCTTATCATAGTATGATAGTTATGGGGACCAGTGGTCTAGTGGCAAAGGTCTCTGCCTCTCATCCCAGGGATCGTGGGTTCGACCCCTACGTATACTAGGTCACAATTTCTCATTTGATTTGTACTGGTAATCTTCGAGACGCGGACGTGAAATTAATCAACATTAGTTGCATCAACTTTTCACAATTAAGCTTATATTAAGATGTTCAAAAAGGTTATGAATATTATAATTCTGCATAAAAGTAACTTCTTTTCTATAGATAGCGGTCGAACTTTGTTTGAATTCAAATTATTTCATTTATATGTGTAATAATGGCGTTATCAAATTTTATATAGATAAACAACTTTATACATATTTTGTTTCAGTATGTATGCAGTAGAGCTGTGTTGGACCGTATTTGGTACAAAAACGAATATGGTACAAATGTACCATATTCGGTCGAATATGGTACAAATGTACCATATTCGGACCGAATATGGTACAATTTTCGACCGAATATGGTACAAACATTGTACCATATTCGGTTGGAATAAGTTTTTCTATGCTCGCCAAAACGTATTTGGTACATACCAAAAAAACTCATAAAATGAAAATGGCCTACGTATATGGTACATAAATTGTGTATTTCTTAATAAATGAAATAGTCTGCCGATGTGTAAACTTTTTTTCAAACTCAAATACATTGTATTAACCTAATATTGGAAGTGACAAAAGTATCATCATCATCATCATCATCATCATCGTCGTCGTCGTCGTCGTCGTTGCGTCGTCGTAACTAGCAGTAACAGAAACAGCTAACCTAACCACACTTTACATGGATTTTGCTGGTTGTGTAACTGTTTCACCGGCTAGCTCAGTCGGTTGCGCGTCAGATTGGCACGCAGGCGGCCTGGGTTCGATTCCCGGGCGGGCCAGATACTTTCGTGGAGATTGGTCACGAAATGATTTCTACGGCCATTCTTCCCCTACCGCTGTTTCAAGTAGGGCAGTTGTCAATTACTGGCGAATGTATCTGCTTAGTACTGGTTACTAAGTACTAGTACTCTAAGACTAGAGACGTGCTTGCTCCAGGTAACTCTGTAAAAGTTTGAGGATTATCGCATTTTGGTTATGTTCATAGAGTGTGAACTTGTAAGGGTAAAGGTAGGCGAGCAAATCCATGAAGCGCGCCAGCGCTTCTTGGAAAATTTGATCGTTTAATACCCCTCGGTATTAATGCTTATATTTTAATACATTTTAATAATAATTGGTAGGTTTTGTCCAGATATGATTGCTTTAAGCAAACGTCGTTGCAGGAATGTCGACGTCGCATTCGATTGGTCGAATGACGTCGCGTCAGCCATATTAATGATTTCGTGCATTGTTTGGGTCAATCTAAAACTTCTGACAAGAAGATATTGCATGAGCAAATCCGAAAAATAAACAAGAAATTGGGCCGAAAAAATAACTAACGAAATTCATATTTCATGCATTTGCAGTTGTTTTACGATAGAATTTCTTCGATATAATTCAATATCCTTTGGTCAGTAGTTTTAGATTGACCCAAACAATTCACAAGATCATTAATAGCAATTTTCAAATTTTTAAAACTTTTTTTTCGAAAGTGTATTTTCACCAAAATCCGATTTAAGAGATTTTGAGCTCTTTTAAATGAATATATCTCTCCAAAAATAAGGATGTTTGACTGGCTGCTTTAGACAGGTGTGACTGTATTCCTAAACATTAGGCGAAAAGAAAAAAATTGTCTGGTTCCGGTGACCCGACCCTACCTATTTTTTTCGCCCGACCCTAACCTTTTTTTTATTTGAATACGAAAAAATTGGTCCGATTTTTTACTCAATATTCAACTTTTGTCATCATCATGACGATGATGATGATAATGGCGTTAATGGTGACGATGATGATGATGGTGTTAATGGTGACGATGATGATGTAATTGATGATAATGAAAATGGTGATGATGATTGGGGTTTGATGATTGTGATGATGATAACTGCGATGTTTATCGGCCGATGATAATGATTATAATGATGATGATGAAAAAAGTTTTTTATTATGTTGACGCCAATGATTACCGGCCGCTGATGATGATGATTATGATGATGATGATGCTGCTGCTGCTGCTGCTGATGATGATGATGATGATGATGATGACGATGATGATTATTTTCATGATGGTATTGATGACGTTGATGCAAATTGTAGTTATGATGATGATGATGATGATGATGATGATGATGACGATGATGATGATGACGATGACGATGATGATGGTGATGATGATGATGATGATGATGATGATGATGATGATGAGATGACGATGATGATTATTTTCATGAAGGTATTGATGACGTTGATGCAAATTGTAGTTATGATGATGATGATGATGATGGTGATGATGATGGTGATGATGATGATGATGATGATGATGATGATAATGATGATGATGGTGATGATGATGAGATAACGATGATGATGATGATGATGATGATGACGATGATGAGTGTGTACCATATTCGGAACGAATGTGGTACATTTTTCATCCGAATATGGTACAAGTTTGTACCATATTTGGTCAGGCATTTTACCCCAAAACTGCAGATACGTATATGGTACAATTAGACAGTTGTACCATATTCGGCCAAATATGGTACAAATTTGTACCATATTCGTTTTTGTACCAAATACGGTCCGACAAGAGCTGTTTCCAACACATTGATGTTATCAAAATTATTCATGCATGCAAGTAAAAAGGTTTTCTTTTGTCAGAACATAAGCACCGTTATATAAGATAGTTTTGTGCACATAATTACGTGCAATAACATATGCAGAAGCAGGGGAATGGGGGTTCACTGAGGCCCCGAACCTGCATGGTAAGGTATTAAAATAGTCCAGGGGCTTAAGCAGATTTACTCATTCCATTTACAGTTAAACTGCGATATTTATAACAGTAAATAACATGAGCTGTCGGTAGGACAGAATGCTTGACTATTGTCGGTGTTTGACAGAAAAACAAGGACAAAAAAGGGCCATAATTATGTGAAATTTCAAGTTAGATTTATTGACTTTGGATAGTGATCTGCTATTATGTTCTTAAATAAGTGTGCGAAGTTTCAACCCATTCCCTATAGTAGTTTTAAAGATACAACTCAAAAAACCTAACAAAAGCATGACGCCGTAGCCGGGCTTAGTACACAAGCCCTCATTCAAAGAATACATGAATAGCTCAAGAACATATATTTAGCAATATATTTCAGAACGGAATTGTTCATCTTTATTGTATACAATAAGACAGCAAATGATTATATTATTTAAAAAAAATCAAGTTTATGTAACTTACTTTTGTATAGTCGCAGCCACGTCGTTGGAACCGTTGTATGCTTTTAGAATTTTAACAAGTTCGTAGTTTGTCCTTAATGGAAACTCCTGCCCTGTCAAGTTGATAAAATATTTCCACGTTTTACTTCTGCTCCACAACTCGTTCATACATTTAAGATCCGGCTCCAGGACGGACATGCCGCCTAATTTTACACTGACTCTAGTTCTTAACAGAAATACATTGTCAAAACAGCTTGCAATTCCTGACACAGCGTTATGTATAGTCTCGCGAGATTTAAAATCAACGTGAATACAATAAATATTTTGTGGTCTATAGATTGCCCGTAAAAGTCGTTCAAATTGTTCAACATTTTGATACATTAAAATGCTGTATGCTATGGGAAAGGACTCTTCTTCTTTAGTTAAATAGTGCATTATATAGCCTCTGTCTTTAATAAAAGTAGGACAGTTTTTCGTCATTTCTATATAGTCTGCATCCTTCAACCTCGCTCTTTTAATAGATTTGGCTCTCTTCACCTCCTCTCTGGTTCTGTTAATTAATTCAAGACAATTCACGTCGTCAACCCTAAAATCGCGTAAAAAATATTTTCGTTTAATGTTAATCTGGATTTGTGTTCTCCTTTTCGTCACAGTTCGATTCGAATACAGCTGTAACTCTGGCGGTATTCCCCAGAAATTGTCGTCTGTTTGATTTATTTCCTTCTCCCTATCATTGTCATATTTTATATCTTCAAACACTCTATTTAATCCCGCTATTACTAGGTCTTGAAAAAGAGGGTTACCTTTGACCTTGACGTGATTATGGAACAACGATACGTACATGGTTTTCAAAAGATATGAAAAAGTGTAAGTCACACATATCACTAAAGCAAGAATAAAGGGTTTTGAAGAATACCCTAGTAAGAAGCGCATGTTGAGTGCTCATGAACCTTTGACCCCTGTTATAACAGGAATTTTCGTCACTTTTCTAGCGATATTAACCGAATAAGTTGTAGGTGTTTATGTGAAAGAAGTCCATGGTTATCGGTCACTTAAATCAGGTTAAAATCCGGTAAATTTCGATTGTTTCTTTTTATCTAATCCATTCAAACTTAAACAGAATATCCTCTATACTTGATCAATGTGTAAAGATTCTAAGCTCACAAGTTTACCAAGATTTCATGACGTCAGTTGCATTAGTTTCATACTACATCCAAAGTTTAAATATATTATGTAATATTTTATCATTATATTATATACTTAATTTTGAAGACATATATAGCAAATAATAAAATGACATGTGCAAACTATGATAGCAAATCTAAAACATTTTAAACAATAATTAAAGTGAGCCTCGGGGTACCTACTGAATGTAATAATTATATGAATAAAATAAAATAACATGACACGTGTTAAACAGAATTTCAACTTTTTTACATTATTTAACATTAATTTTATATTATATTCTTTTGAAATTGTCAAATTTTAAACAATGATTTTGTAAACGAAAGACAGCAAATATATGAACAAAAATCTTGAACTAAGAATGTAAATATTGATATTTACGAATCTAATTATCTTATACCAATTTAATGTGTGTATACGAAACTGCATCGTCGGATACCCACGGCCGAACCATTAACATTCATCGCATGTTATGTAACATGTTTATCAATCGTGGGTATCCGACGATGACGAAACTGTATGGAAAGGTGTAATTTGGAAATCCAGACCCCGGATCCCCCACCCGAATCGCTTTTATATCAATTACCGTGAGAAATGGCGAGAGTAGCCAAGTTGGGGGGGGGGGGCTCAAAAATGAACCGTTGTGAGTCAGTAAAGAGCACTTCGAATACTTCCGATTATGCAAATTTTATGTAAGCAGTTTTGAAATTATAGACAAAACAAGACTACCATTTAGTACAATCTTATCAGTGAAGGTATCTATACAGCGGTCGATATTTTGTGTTCTTTCGTTACTTTTTTAATATTTCATTATCAATTAGATACAGTGTAGAACCAGAACGTTTTTGGGGAAATAAAAGTATTTTACGGGAAATAAATCCTCGTGTTTGTTTGATTAATCAAACATTCACTTAGTTTCATTTTATAGTAAGAAAAATAATGATTTTAAGTATTGGATTTTACAAGAATAAGCGGGCTCAACACTTTAACCCATTAAAATAATCATATACGAGTATTTAAAAAGTAATGCCAAAACAAACTGGTCATGTGTTGGTTTTCTGTCCAGACAAAATTTTAAACGGTTATGTAAAATGTTAATCTAAACCCAGCAATAAAAGATGATGTATCTATGTCCAGCTGCTATTCATGTGTTGACATGTTAAAGAAAATAAAACTAATAGGCATTAAAGCCGCTTATATGCTCTTAATAATGCACGTGTAAAAATGAATTAAAAACAATAATTAACCAATGTCAGATGATAACTTACAATGCCACATGATAACTTACAATGCCACATGATAACTTACAATGCCACATGATAACTTACAATATAAGTGGATAACTTACAATGATTAGAGGATTACTTACAATGTTAAATGATAACTTATCACGAGATATGATAACTTACAATGTAAGATGATAATTTACATTGTCAGATGATAATTTACAATGTCAGTCGATAATTTACATTGTCGTTATAAACGTAAACAGAGGGGTTCTTGGTGGTGTATAGTTAAATTTTACATTGTACAACAAAAGTAATCACCGGTGAAATGTGTTTATTGTTTTAAGATATTTGTTCAAAATTAATAAGAAAAAGATTATACATGCATATATAATGTATTAAATCAATTAAACCAAAAATGTAAAATACCTTAAACACAATAGCTCATGCCAATTAACACCTGAGACATATACTTGTGAATTAACATTTAAAAACAGAAACATTGTGTGTTTTTTTTAAAACTCTTAGGAACATATGCTATGATAATGACATGAATAAATGTTCTACAATGATAGTTCATGAACACTTTTCAGACAACAAAAACTCTTATTTCAGGAAGAAGCCTTTAAACATTACGTATTGTATAAGTGGAAAGTCTTAGCCACCATTTCCCATGCGTAACTTTTGCTTTTAATGTGTTATTTCCAATTAAGTTTTGCTCATAACGACTTACAGTCGCCATGCAGTCTACCTTAACGTTATTTGCAGTTTCCATCTTCCAAGATTTTTAATCAAACAAATAAAGCGTCTTTTGAGTATTTTTGAGCCAATGTTTTATATTGCTCCAAAGCACTGAACCAGAATTTATCCATTATACCATCAGAGTGTGCATTAGCTACTAGGAGATTGCACTTCTTGTCCCTAGATTCAAAACACGTTTTGGCGTCTTTTTCGTTCAAATTGAGATTCGGAAGTGGGTTATGCTTGACGTTCCCGATCTTGTCCGGTAAAAGTCCAAACAAGTACACATCATCAACCCAAAAGAATGGTGTAACTTTGGCTGCTTCGTACATTTCTTGTATCAAGTCTTTTGTAAGAATTGTGAAGAATCCATTGCAGTACGTCACTGGAAAATACGTCATGTTCTTAAACTCATTTTCGTCAACTTTCCACTTTCCTTTCTTTCTCTGAATAAGACTAGTTCCTTTGTACCGTACTGGACACCATATTTGCTTTTTTTTGTTCCTAAATTTGGACTCTATGTCTTCCATCAGTTTAAAAACATTTAAGAAAACATCGTCGTCACTTTGAAAAAAATTTTCTGTTGTTTAAAAAATTCAAAAACCACTCCCTAAGATCCTTTTTTTGTTCAGTTCCTACAAATATAAAATTCCCCTTGTAAATTATATCTTTATGCACGTTTGATCGTGTTAAATAAGCGTTTTGTGTAGATCTTTAAGGTTTGCCTACAATGTAAATTTCTAAGAAAACTTTTTAAAAAGTTTAAAGTTACCCCAGTCTCCCTTATAATATGTCTCATAAAATGTGTAGTCGAAAATGCAACAACAACAAACGAAAATTTTTTTTAAAAACCTTTTAAAAAAAAAAACTTTTTTAATGTTATACGGTGATCCAAAATTGTCGAGGCCGGCCCCTTCTTCAAAGGTTTTTTATCAGCCCCTTCTTTTTGTTAGTTCCATTTTTGGGGCAAAAACGTCCCCACTGGCTTTTTTTTATGGGGAAATTTTTTTTGTTTTTAATCTTTTGTGCAACATTAAAGTTCCCTTTTTCCAATTTTCAAATCTTTCACAAGTTTTGCAGACTGTTTCATTTTAAAAGCTATATATACATTGCCGTCCTCGTGCTCAATCAGTATGGTATTTTCGGACTCGCGATCTAGTTCTTTCCAGTTTAACTTAGCATGTTCCAATGACGTCATCACTGTTGGTGCACGTTTCATATTCAACACCATGGAGAGAAAAACGAACACTACGACTAGAAAACATGTTGCTGAGATACAGTTCACTTCTCCACGGAAGATGTTGAAAAACAAACGGTAAGCCGTTATTCGTGCAGATCTGGCTGACATCTTAAATCAAAGGTCCATTGGCAAATGCTGAAAAGAGATAATAACTAGAATAAAGAATACGAAGCGTCAGCAAAATTTTTCTGAAAGTGGAGAAAACCTGCAAGCAAATATGTAATTTTATTTTTTAAAAAAGTTATTTTGTTTTTGTTTTTTTTGTTTCATTTACGCCTTTTCCCAACAGTATTTGCAGCAAATCCCCGGGGCATTTTCCAAACTCGTTCCTGGGGGTTACCCCAGTACTAGACTCCCTTCCTCCTGAACTACCAAAGCACTTCCGGGGATCGAACCCACGCCAGAGAGGTAACTGGATTAGAAGTCATCGACTCTAACCCCTCGACCACGGAGGCGGTCAATTTTTGCTGGTATACGATACTTAGTTCTGAAAGAAAAATGTAGGTGAAAAAAAGAGAGATAAGGGGTATTTGAAAAGATAATAGCTGTGAGGCTGTACATGAAGAGATGTGCGAGATTTTCGGTTGGGAGAGTTTATTGTTTCAAATAATTTAGTAAAAAAAATCATATAAATGCAGCCTTTAAGATGTTAAACTTTACTTAAACGAAATTTTTAAGATTGTACATAATTATGCTGGAAACGATAGCTATAGAAGAAAGCGCTATTTCTGCTGAATATATTCTCCGAAAAGAAAAAGAGGGTAATCGTAAAAACAACGGAAAAAACGGTAACTTTTATGTTTATGAGAATAGATTGCAAACCATTTTTGGTAATAATACAGTTTTTAAGTTACTGCAGTTTTATCAGCAATGCAAGACTTTGTTTTATTTGTAAAGAGTAAAAAGTTTCATAAATTTTTAAAAGTAAGGAAAATTTTATTAAGCCGCAAAAACAGGGTTTTTTTGGAATGTTAAAGCTAAAATTTTATTTTTATAGTAAACCCAAATTTGTCTTTTTTTAAAAATCCCTTAGAGGTTACTAGGTATGGGTTATACATTGTTAAAAAACAAGATAAATTTGATGATAAGCTTTTTTGGCTAAAATTTCTTAAAAAAATGTAAAAAATTTAACGCTGTTTATCATTGTAATTTCTATACAAAAAGAATGAAAAAAGATTTCAGGTCCTCAAGTAAAAAAAAACGCCCTGAAAATTAAAACATGTTTTCTTTTTTAAACTACCGTCATTGCGTAAAAAAATTTTTTAAAAATACAAAAAATTTCTCTCTTTTAAGACACAACGAGACTGACTCAAAGTGGTCTTAAGAGTACTCATATATTACCGACGCCGCGTTTTACTCTGACATTGAAAGAATAAACGAAATGATGGGGAAAATATCACTAATTTGCGTCCATTATATTTTATATTGTCTTTGCAAACATCACAATGGTATCCTTTATGATTGTCATGAGGGTAATATACCGACATGTATAGTGTACTGTTTGCACCTATGTTTTATGTATTGTGTCTATAAAATATTATAGTTTTCCTTATGGAGAAAACAAGTCGGTCAGTCACTAGGGTCCGACGGAGGTTTTTCCTTAAGCCGGTTATATTAAATGATTCATCCCTGCATTCAAAAAAAAAAAAAAAAGATTTCGAATTGCCTCCTATAAAGAATAAAAAGATGTGTAAGTATATAAAATATAAAAATGCACGTCAAATGGATAAATCTTAAATATTTCACTTGATGGTGCACATAGCTGCATGTAACACATTCTAATAATTTCTTCTTGATGTTTGTTGTCTGTTTGGATTTACGTCGCCCCAACAGAGTGAAGGTTATATGACGCCGAAACTTGAAAGATGATTTTGGCTAAATTCAGGTGTTACAAAGGTCAACAATTAAATTTTACGTCGCCCCAACAGAGTGAAGGTTATATGACGCCAAAACTTGAAGGATGATTTTCGCTAAACTCAGGTGTTACAAAGGTCAACAATTAAAGGAAACCTGTCAGTCACACGGGACTTCAAATAATGAAAAATGTAATCAAAAGAAACGATTAAAAACAACTACAAGTTGAAAAGAGGTCAATTTGCAGACACTGTTGACGGCTTGATTTGTTGATCAATCCCTTGTCCTGCTGTAACTGACAGTGACGTCTTTGCCAGCAATATAGAGCCATGCCAACCTGTACATCATTGTGCACAGTCTGACCAGGCTCTATACCACTGGCTGACTTACTTTAATATTCATTTTGATATCCTTAAAATTGATACTGGCCAGCTCTAAAATTGGAAATAGGACAGGTCTATTTAACAACTTCAGCGTTAAATTGGCTAATGAGAGATCCAGATCTACTGTGTATAATGCTTAACATTGATATACTTCAAAAATACTGTATTTCATATGATATATAGTGTTATAGGCCTTGTTGGTGACAAAGTATTTGAAGATAGTCATAATACATTATATCAATAAACTTCAGTCAATGTTAACGAAGTCATAATTCTTATATCATTAACTTATTACCGTTATATCGGAAAGTAAAATATTTTGAAATATCAGTAAATGTTGTAAAACCTATTCTGTAGTTAGTATACTGCTATAAGTACATTTGTATATGAATTTATTTCATTATATCAAAAAAAGAAACATGGTGAAACATTAATTTAACATTTGGTTCTCATATACACCTATGAATCAATTCCATACTCGTGTTGATGTCGAAATCAAACGTGTGTCATCATGACGTCATACCTGTTGTTTCAATGCATATGAATCAATCAATGTAAGTGACCATAACTCTTCCATAGCAGACGGAAAGCCAACACTAATTGCTATCAAGTTACTTTTTCCGTTCCTGTATGAATCTAGTCCATTAGCTTGAAACAACGTAAGATTGTCTTTGATGTTGATAAAGTTAAGTTTTGGTAATTCCTGTGTCAACTGTCCGAACATGTACACATCGTCTACATTTATCAACGGAGTAACTTTAGCTTTTTCAAGTAGGTCACACACTACTTTAGACGTCATTATCACCATATAACCAGAGCAAAATTGTGGCAAGTGTGTACGATTTGTAAACACCTCTGGCGGTATATACCATTTAGAATTCTTATCTCTCACAATTGGACTTTTCCCACCTTCAATGACGTGACACGCGATCACGTCTTTGTCGGGGTTTTATTTTCGGGCATAATTTTTTTGAAAAATTGCGAAAAATTAAAAAAATAATCGTATAGATTTTATAAATGTTTTGGGTTTTTTTTTAAAATCTTTTAAAATAAAGGCCCAAAGCGATTTTGCTCTTCAATGTAAGGTTATAAACGATAAAATAAAATTCCTTCAATAAATATCCCCATGTTAAGTGTCTTTTTAATTTTACACGGTCTTGATATCAGTTGGTTTAAACCAATTAGAAACAAACTTAACCCCGTTTAAATGTCAAAGAAGCCGGGTTTTGATCCCCATGTATTTCTTAAAGTCCTCCTCTTCATGAAGTTAGACCATTTACTTTGGAAATAAACCAAGACTTCTGTAGTGTTGTCGCACTTTGCTTCTTCGTTGAATTTAAACTTTGGTAAAACAAACTTTTGATTAATAGCGTCACGTCTTCGATCAATTGTTGAATCTTTTATTGCACTTGAAGTGGTAGTAGATGGCAACCCTAAAGACGTATTATACAGTGTTTGATTTACAACACTGGATTTCGTAGATAACCCAGTTTCTTGTGGACGGTTTGAATACTGCACACGATTTGAAAGCTCGTCGGGAATAATTATATGTACTTGTTGTAGATATTTTGCTTTGTCCTCCATAGAAGTCGTTCTGACAAAAGGAGATGTGTTGAGCGTCTGTAGAAAGATGATACCGGAAGTGACGGCAACAACGAGACACATTGACCCCAAAGCCCAGTCTTTACGACCACGTGACAATCGCCGACGTCCAATCATATTTCTCTATAAAAACAGAATTAGACCTGTCAAAGAAGATGTTTTGATTCAGTCCTTGATTTATCCAAATGCACGACTATTGAACATTTTCCAAACATATTACTGAATAATATTAAATTGCCGTAAATAGACTTAAAATAGCCCTAATTGAGGTTTGTTTAGGAATATATTTTTAGATATTTGTTCATATATATTTTCAAGAAACGGTCCAATTTCTAACATTTCGTACGGGTGCATCCTTTAGCATATAATGTAAATTTTTCAGATACAACGCATTTAAGCATGGATCGTTATACATGTATACATATTAATTATCAAAGGGTGGTAAAATCAAAGAATTAAAACAATTAAAAAACTGAACAATCAAGTTATTGTTTATATTGATATGATCACATTTGGAGACATTATTATTAAACATTTTAACAAGGTATGCCGAAACCATAGCTTGATTTTGTCGCAAATTTAGCAAGCTTGGTTCGGCAGATATACTATTTTCATATTGCAATGATGTAGTTTAAAATTTTCTATACTTTTTTTAATGAGTTTTCAAAATATAGAGCACCTGTTTCAAGATATATTCTTCAGGGCAAAATGAATATACATGCATGCTCTTCCATGTACTTTGTGGTTTAACGATAGACCATAATTTATGATGTTTGTATACAAGGTTAAAATGACAATATGTCCATCCAAGTGGGAGTACACAGGTAAAAACAAATAACTTTATATATATTTTATCGTAATTATGTTCAGATTAACATTTTACGATGCAAAAATTATTATGATTAAATCCATGTGACCCACGGACATTTCTATAAATACCATTTGAAATTTGTCGGTTACATTAAATTAAAAAAGAGTGCGGCAGTCTTTCATAGTTAAAGTAGTTTTTTTTATAATTTATGCTTAACATGTTTCATCATAAATAATTGGTAAATCACCATTATAATAGTCAATCTTTTTAAATATTGTATTAATTCAGCTCAACTTGGTAGTAAAAAAAATAGGAAAATGTCACTTTAACGTTGACATGTTAAAATATTTATCTTGCACGATTTTCACGTGTTTTTTTTCTTCCTCGTTGTTACCTCAAGTAAGAATGTCACTTTTGGTGTGAATCACGAGTGTTTTTTACATAGAAATTATGGGAAAAAAACGGGGGAAAAAACACGCAAATGAATATGTCAAGATAACAGGACGATTTAAGATATACCGTCCCCAAGATAGCTTTTGACAGAATAAAACGTTCCGAGCCAAGGTTCGAAATATATTTACTTTTATTGTTAGTTGAAATTGATATATTTAATTAAATACGTTAGTGCCCAATGTAAAATCCTAATGTCAATGATAAATGTGTGTACTTTATGAGAGATATGATCAAGCATGGCTTCTCAATAATATTGCAAGTCTGTTCGTGAGAGATAATGAAAAAAAAACTGGCATTCCCTGTAGCACCGGCTGAATGACACTTTATGTGCTAGAATCAATTACCTTTATAAGGACCAGTTAAAACATTTTGTTTATTATATAACGGAAAGATAGGTGTCTGCTGTCTATATGTAAATTTTGAACACTTGAAATAAATTGACATTTTTATCAAAGAAATTCAAGTGCACGTTTTCAATGAAACTTTAATTCAATTCGCTTGATCAGTCCTTTATCATATTTAAGCTTTTTAAACTTTATCAAAGGCGTACACTTGCATATCTATTATTTTCCTGTATATAAATATTAGATTACGATAAAAATAAGAGTAAAATATATAAACGGAAGTAAAAAAAAATGGGCTTTAAATAATAAAAGATGAAAAAAGTAGAAATCACAATATGAAACGTTTATATTTTTTAAATGTAAGTATCAGTTGTTTTAATTGCTTACCAAATCAATATACTTCATTTCAAATATTGGCATCAATAAGCGTTTGCTTTCCGCTTTCTGCTTTCTGATAATTTTGTAATCATAATGTACTTTCATTTATGTAGAGAATTAAATATTAGATAAGTATAAAAATATATGATAAAATCATGCTTAAACCATCAGCATATTTTTAATATAAGAAAAGCTATCCATTAAAATAATGTAAACATAGTAATGAATTTTACTTCACTATAATAGATCTGTTTTGCAACGATAAGCATTTTTTGTGCAAATAGCCGACCATGTCACAAATATTTGATCAGATGTTCAAATTTGATAAAACGTCTTGTAAAAATTTGCTTTAAATATTTAAACAAAGGAATACATTGCTTATACATTAACACTCGATAATGAGGGGTTATATACGGAAATATAATTGCGCCGCGCCACGACAAAACCAACATAGTGCGTTTGCGACCAGCATGGATCCAGACCAGCCTGCGCCACCGCGCAGTCTGATCAGGATCCATGCTGTTTGCTTACAAACCCTATAACAAGTAGAGAAACTGATAGCGAACAGCATGGATTCTGATCATACTGCGCGGAAGCGCAGGCTGGTCTGGATCCATGCTGGTCGCAAACCCATTATGTTGGTTTTGACATGGCGCGGCTCATATGCATTCTCAGCATAAAAGTTATACAAGCTTTTATGATTATTTATTTTAATACGACATGTTCCATGAAATCAGTTATTTATTTGTATAATTCGTCATGTACGTATATATACTACTAATTGTTAAACAACAATACTCAGAATTATCTGCACAGAATTTTATTATCAAACATACTAATATAAGTGCTGCAGTGCCCTCCATAAAATTTGTAAGATAAAGTTTCAATTTCTATCCATGCAAAATGATTAAATTCACACATAAACATATGACTAAATGAGATAAGAAAAAAGCATTTAATTGTATTGTGACACAAGTATTTTTTTGTTTGTTTAACATAAGGCATCAAAGCTTAAGCTAATGTAATGATATTATACATGAATATATGATTTGAAAAATTGAAATACGAGTATAATACTAAATAGTCAAACAAGCAGTGATTTTTCTCACATGTATGGTTGGGAAGAGGCCTTAGCCTCTTGATTTTGGGGAATATCGCTAAAATAGTTAATTTGGGAAGAAAAAATGGTGTCAGTTCAGGCTTTTGGAAAAATTGGATGATTTAATTTTTAAGAACATTTCAATTTGGTAGAGGCGTTTTATTATAGGCTTCTGTTATATATGGATAATAGAGTATATTTTACGTATATACTAAAATATAAGTCATGTCCCTTTCTCGGTTTATATTATAGTATCTAGCAGAATAGTGTTTTTTGATTAATTTGTAATGCTTAGAAAGAAAAAGTCAGAAAATAAGCAAACTAGATATAATTATGCCAATAATTATCGCATATGCTCTAACATTTTGAAATAAGCAAATGAAACGAAGAATGAACCGGTAAGAAAACAACAGAACAGTAAATGTTGCAAAAATAAAAATATAAATCAATATACGAAAAATGTTTTACAATTAAAATGATAATATAAGATCGCAAACCTTATGATGTTTTAAAGGAAAAAAAATAAATAGATATGTAAAGAAAGAAACTGATTCTTACCAGTTAACGATATCCGTACACGAGAATCAGCGTGGAGGTTTCAATATTGTAAACTGGTTAATCCTTCCATTAATTACACTATTACACCATTCTCAATAATTCTTATCATCTTTATCTTCCTCCTGAAATGTCAATAGTGAATCTTATCACAAAATAAATACGAAAATACGCTCAATAGTTGTGGCAGAATTTCACATATATTACCCGATGTCCGTAAACTAACATTCCTAGTTTTCTAAGTCTATACACTAAGGGTAGGACAGTTATATCAGGTCGGCACTTTACAAGCAGATGATAACGTTCTTTACTTAGTCAAACCTTTAGATGAATTTTAGAGCAGAGATTGTTAATAGAGCCTATATGATACAGTTTAAGATTACAACTTGTGATATAAAAGTAACTTTAACAAGTTCATGTTGTCACAATTTGAGTTGGGTGTGTCTATGTACACTTGTTGAATTTTGCCTTATTATCGTTTAGTTAATCTTACTCCATCAACAGCAGTCTTGGAGACTAAATAGACATATCATGAAACACGTAAATGTTGAGTAGATTCAATAAATCTTTACAGACAGTTTAAACTATAGATAAAATACCAAATTCCGTAGTCAATGAATGAAATAGTTGTCACATTTTGGTTGGTTTGGTCAATACATGCATGTTTGTATATTCATATTGTAACAAAGTAAATATTAGGCT